GAGACGAACAATGAGAAGCTGAGAAGCTGAGAAGGGAAGGACGACGGAGGCAGAGGCAACGATGGTCGATTTTAGATCATCTCCTGCTGAGGAGGGGAGGTCGACGCTGTGATTTCGGATCTTCTCCCACTGAGAAGGGGAGGACGAAGGAGGGCAGAGTCAAAGGTTGTGGCGTGCCGCGTGCGGCCGGTGGGATCTAATTGAGACAAAGCACAAATCAATTGGAGTTTGGGACTAAGCACAAAAAAGTGGGATATAATAATACTAGCTAGATTCATTACGAGGAATATTTTTTAATTTTATAAATGTTCATTTTGCTTGTGCTTCCAAGTATAGTAAAAAAGTTAGATTTTTTGATTGTCACGTTGTATTATGATTTGTTCCCTGAAATATAATTGGAGTTTGGGTTTCATCCACACTTGGCATGAATGATTTGTCATTTCTGATATTTCTGACTTTTCAGGCAAATTTTTTATTTATTTTATACAATCATCTTTTTTTTTGTGTGCCGATCTTTCACTCAACTGACCAAAAAAAAAACTCACAAATCCATCATATTTATGAAGGGTCTAACAGATAACTTGATGATTAAATAAGATTTAAGGAGGTGTTTAATGTTATAGTTGAGCTAAATGCCCAACATACTAATATACTATCATCATTTCATCTAGAGATCACACATGAGCTGCATATAAATTTTAAGATGAAGAAGATAGTTCCTTCTGTTTATTTATATTTTAACAAGAAAAATGATAAATAGGTCCAACTTAATGACAAATAAGTACAGTGAATTTGCCGCTAAGAGTGTCCCCTCCTATACATGTGAAATAATTAAAATGCCCTTTAACTAAATTTGACTGAACCGTCGGACTAGTATCTACGCTGGCTGGTGGTTGGACGGCCATTGAATCATCACTAACCAGTCATTAGACCACCGTACAGTTGCCGGCAACAGTGTTAGCAAAGTAATTAAAGTAATAAAAAAAACTTATTTTAATAATATTTTATGTATCACTGAAATTAATTGTACCATCACTATTGCATACTATATACTATATAAAAGAAGTTAAACATAAAGAAAAATATAATGCACACAAACGAAGATAAATTACACACAAAAAAAGTTAAGTTGCACAAAATCTTTAGGTCCCATTTGTTAATTAAATTTTCAATGGAGGATTTATCCCCAATTTTCTCATGAAAAAATGGCATGGTGCTTTGTTTTTTTTTCCCAATTTTACGTTCAGTATTTACTAAAAAAAATATTATCCTCAATTTATTGTTCAACTTTTACCACATGTGAATGTAAAAAAAAAAAAAAAAAACTGTTTATGTTCAATGTCATGTCTGATGTCTTCTCTTTCTTCTTTCCTTCTCTTTTACATACCCCACCGTCCCCAACCCCAAAAACACAAAAAAGTAGCTTCTGCTCATAAACTCATCAGACCCAAAATTCAATCAAATTAATTCAAACAATTTCAAAATCTAAAAAATAGCTTTTGTCAGTGAAAACATATGTTTAGGCTCCAAAGCGCGATTCCAAACACAGCATAAGTAACTAATTTTTACTTATAGTTTATTGTTGTTTTTTTATATAAAAGTCAAATTGCCCAACTGTGAAGCGCCAGTTTCATGCACCGTGCTTTTGGTCATTCAACCGCACGATTGATGCATTTTACCGCTTTCACATACACACCCTAGATCTTAATTCACGAATCTCGATTGTGATGGATCCTTTTTTTTTTTTTTTTGGCATGCTTCGGAGAAACAAATACACGGGGAGGGGGAACAGAGCATCTTCAGGCTTAGACTTCAGATGATGAAATGAAAGAGATTATTAGCAGACTAGAGTCTCTTCAATACTGAGTCCTAAGCCTACCTGGGAAGTCTAGTAAGGTGTGCCTGAAAGTTTCACGTGAACCCTATATTTTTTTATATTTTATTTAATGATAATTAAATCAATTTTAATACAAATAAAATTGGTAGATCCAGATAATTCAATCATTGGCCAACTTTCTAAGAGTACTTTGTTATTTGATTTATATCTATGCCTAATGAGAAGTTGAGAAGCCGTTCCCAAGAAAAGGTCGTCAAATGCAATTGAATATCAACAATTGAATATCCCGATGTTACCCAGTGACACACAAAGTGGGTTCTTACTTTTGTACGGCCCAACAAGTTTTGAAAGTGAAGCTCAATCCTGAAGAGCAAGAAGATTTGGGACGGGTTTCGTTTTGCTTTTTATTTTAAAGACATTTTTATAAAATTACTTTTTAAAGTAAGTTTTGAAAATAAAAAAAAAATGCTTGGATAATTGTCTAAAAAATTACATTTGAAAATATATATATTCACGCTGGAGAGTGACGCTTTGATGAGAACTAAAATCCTTAGATGGAGTTTATTCCAAAAAAAAAAAATCCTTAGATGGAGACAAGGCCATCGAGCGGGGAAGAAAGAATTTCTCATTTTATTTCAACCAAAAAATAAAAAATGCATAAACAAAAAATAAGAAAACAACTAAAAATTGTTTTTTTATATTTTTTTTCTGTTTTTTTATTTTTAAAAACACTTAACTAAATGAGTTAAGCCACGGTTTGCCGCGGCTTGAAGGGTTTTTATGGGAAAGGCATAATTTTCTGGGGTTACTTTTTGTGGTTTGGTTTCATTCTTGGACATTTGATCCTAGTTTTTGATTGGTTTTCAGGGTTGTTTAATCCTATGGTCAATGACCCTCGCTGGGTGGATAATCCAGCTTCAATGGTTAATTTTGGGGTGGATGAACTTTTTTGGTTTGATGTTCCGGCTTGTATAGGTAATGGAGTGGCTGCATTTATTTGTGCTTTTCCTTTGTCATCTTTCTTTTTGGGTGGCAACTTATCTTTCTTGTAAGAATTTTCTAGTAAGATAGTCAGGAAGAGTTTGTAGAGCCTCTCATGTATTCAATATCAAAATAAAAGACGCTTATTATGGCTTGCCATCTAGCAAAAGTTTGTTTTAACGCAAGAGTTTTGGCATTTTTTTTTTTTGCGAAATATCTTTGGCAGATTTGCAATCGACTTTGACCAAAAACTTCTGATTTATAATAAATCGCCTTGCAATTTAGAGATACACAAAACAATAGCTAACATCTCCTTTTTAATAGTACAATAGTTTTGCTGGGTTGCATTCCAATGTTTTGAAGTGAAAGCAATAACGCTTTCTTTCCCACCAATTCTTTGCTTGAGGATTCCTCCATAACCAATATCGGAAGCCTCAGTTTCTACAATTTTTAAGGTTTGTGGAGTAGGCGAAGCAAGGCAAAGGAATTCCTGAACCTGAGATCTAATCTGTCTAACAATGTCAGTGCGGGTATCTTTCCTTGCAGGTAGGTTCTTTTTGAGTCTATCAAGGGGGGGTTTAATGAGATTGTTTAATTGTGGAAATAAGTGGTATTAAATTACATTACAAAATGAATATTATATTTAAAATAAAAAAATAATTTACAATTAGGTAGGAACAAAGTGCTCAAACAAATTTTGTTGAATGTATTTAATAATTTGCTGCCACTTTCACTATTGTTCACATCCATAAAGGCTGCATAATCAGTCCATTGGTGATTCGGGGTCGATAATTGTTTTGTGCAATGACAAAAGTTAATATAATTGTATTTAATTATTTTTTTGCTACTCATTAACTTGACTGCCAAAAGACACAAACTACAATACCTAATATAACAATTGATTTATATTTTTTTACATGTCCGTAAATTTTAAATATTTAACTACATACTAATGGCTTAATGAATGTTGGGAATAGATAATGAATTGATTAAAATTGACATTCACCTTTTTTCCAATAATTACAAGCTAATGCTTGGGGTGGATCAAACCCACATTCTAGTGCCACAAAAGGCACATTTAGTGCAATCAAGTGTAGAAATTAAAATTAAAATTGAGATGAAATTATAGAACCTCACATATTAATATTTCTATATTAAAATTTTTTCAGCTAATCCAGTTCAGAAACAGTTCAGGGTCACACAATAATTAGAACACTCAAGTACACAATAAACCCAATTTATATTATGTATAAACTCTACATTGTTTGTTTTAATCTTCACTTTTCAGTAATTAGCATTTGATTTATCAAATCAAAAATTAAGATTAAAACTCTAAATAATTCTAATTCAAGCGAAATTATACGTCTCTGCCCTTTTCCTTACGTCGATTATGATCTTTTAATTGAAGGATAGTATTACATGTAATGTAAATAAAGCATGAAAACAACAAAGACATTATAGGAAATCTAAGGAATGGTGACCCAAGTGGATGAAGGTTTGAGCTGTCAAAGACTCAACTGTTTTCAAATGAAAGATGCAAGACAATAAGCTTCAGCCAAATATACGCACGCGCGCACACAGTATAACAAACAATATACTCGTTGGCAGCCAAAAAACCAAAAAACAATAATATATACTCCCTTCATTACAAAATAGAAGTCTTTTAGAACTTTCATACACATGGTGACAAATGTATTTACTGTGTTGGAATTTTTTTCGTTTTACATTTTCTAATTTGTCCTTAATATATTGTATAATTAATAAAAAATAGAGATGAGTATACTTATAAATGACATATTGAGATTATAAATAAGACATAGATATAATTAATAAAAAATAGAGATGAGTATACTTATAAATGATATATTGAGATTATAAATAAGACAATGATTTTTTTTTTCTTATGAAAGGACTTGTATTTTAGGGAGCACATAATATCTAAACAGAAAAAAAAATGTAAACAATAACTTAATAACATCACCAAAAATTGCATCACTTCTTATACATAATATAAAATTTATAGAAATCATTCTATTTATAAATTATTATGGACATGAAAAACACAATTACACTGTAGGTTTATTAATATTTTTTTTTTATTTATCATCACTTTTTTTTCTGTGATGACATTCTATAGAAACTGCAATTGCAAAGCATGATGGTCATAAAATTCGCCAGATCATGCAGAATAAGGACAGCAAAAATAAGCCAAGAATAAATTTCATCTCTCCTCATGTTAAGGCATACAAAAATCTCCCCTCACCCCAAAAATTTTAAAAAAAGAAAAGAAAAACCTTCAATAGATATGGTAGAGGGGAGGTGATTTTACCTACCTATATAAAATAAGTTAAAACATGATTAGTTGGACATAGCCAATCCACAAAAATGAACTGCATCACGCATGCAAAATCAATTGGAAGGTTTCCTCCAGAAATTTCACCTCCAAGCTGGTCCAATTTTAGAACGACCAACCCCATTACTATCTGGTTTTCAGATTTCCTATGTCATGATGCAGTAATTAGTACATCCGGATCACAACCCTCCATCTGGAATTTCCAGTTTTGACTTGCTTTTTTTCTTGGATTTTGACCTGGTTACTTCATCTCTTGTAATCTTTTCGCTTCGACTATCTTCTTTAGATTTGTTGTGACCTTTCCTCTTCTTAGATTCCTTCTTTTTTCCATCTGTTGTGTTCACAGTGGTCTCTTTACTTTCAGACTTCTTTCTTTTCAAAGGCATTGCCTCAAATTGTTCACCAAGCATGACATTATCCTTAGCCTGCTCTTCGTTTGGGAGCTGGTCTTCTATTTTACACATCATGAGACGTTAACATTAGAGGTAGCACGAAATGTCAATCAATAAAAGACACTGAGGAATGATGCCTCAATATATTATTATATAATCATAAAAAAAATTAACTAACTAGATATATTTAATATAAAAACCAAAGACCCCACCAAGACTGTTCCAGGAAAAGGGGTTGGTTTTTGGGTTTTCCAATCCTTCAAGAAGCAACGCTATCAATATCATCCATATAAATAATTGATCCTATAAAGAGCCGACATTGTTTATGCCATGAACAATGCTTATATCTTAGGCTACACGCATGACACGGCCCCACCTAATTTGTAACTATTTGTGTTGGGCTTCTAAGAATGCCCCTTTCCTTCTCATCACGCCTGTAAATTTAGGTGCCTAAGGCACATGCATTGAATGAAGCATAAAAAAATGCCAAGGCACCGCCAGGCGAGTGCCTGGTTAAAGTCTGCCGCTCAGGGTGCAAAAGACATTAAGCCTTTTCAGCACCTTAAATCAATGCCTTAGGGGTGAGCACCTTCGGACTAACTTGCTTTAATTCAGTATTTGACATTCAATTTAATAGAAAGGAAACTGACAGCTGTGTCCCGTAAACTATTCTCCGATCCACCTTTCCAATTTTCAACTCCAGGCACCAAGTACCTTTAATGTTCCTTGATCTCAAAAGGATTTTAATATACAATATCAAAACAAGAGAGAGAGAGAGAGAGAGAGAGAGAGAGAGAGAGAGAGAGCGAAAGAAATAGGCAAACCTTGACTGATGAAGTTAGAGTCAAAAACGGCATGCATAAGGTGTTGCTTCAGGAAGACCTGCATGAAGAAAATTTTTTCCATAATAATAACTTCATAATTATTTGAAATGTTTTCTAATTTATAAAACATATCATTATGACCTGTAAATTCTACAGAGAGTTTGAACTATCACTAAGCAACCACCTGGTTCAAGTTAAGAGATTATGCTTTTCTTGGCAACATACAACAGGTAGCTTCACAATAAAGTCAGTTATATGATCAGTCTTGAAACATGTCGTCCAAAAATTATATCATATTTCTTGCCTACAAATATCACAATTATTCTTAATCTAAAGATGGACTCTCAGGAAATATCAAATCTAAAAGAGGTTCCGGATTTTAGCTTATAGGATTTTGATGGGGATCCGGCATTGATTCTCACTCTTATATCCTCATATCTTTGTTTTATTCTGTGTCTTAGAAGGAGGAACATGATGCACAAATGAAGACCTTAAACAAGAACAACAAGTCTTATCCCACTAGGCAGGGTTAGCTACTGGGATCGTATGACACTATTGTGTTCTATCAACAACCAAACTTTTAGACAGGTTATTAACCAAAAAGCCCCATTCAATAACCTCATTGAGCATTTCCTCGACCTTCCTTTGTCTCTTTTTAAAAGACTTCAAACTGCTTGATCTATCTTCCTTACTTGTACCTCCAATAACCTTCTCTGCACATGCCCAAACCACCTCAAACGATGTTCAACCACTTTCTCTTCGATAGGCACCACACCTACTATTGCTTTGATACTGGCATTTTGAATCTTATCTTTTCTCATATGACCACACATCTATCTCAACATCCACATTTGTGCTACCTCAACTTTATACTCTTGTTTTTCTTTTAGAGCCCAACATTCTTATATCTAAAACAATATCAACTTTTACATAAAAAAAAATTTGCCTGACCTGCTGTGATATGGGCTTCTTTCACTTTAGAGTTGGATAGTTTTATTCAGTGAAAATTATTAATTCATAGCAACTCCTCGGTCTAAATACCAAAAGCATGTTACATTCAATCAATAAATGGGAGGCGTAATAAGGGAATAAGAGGTCATGAAGAATGGCATGGGCTCAATATTAAATGGCAAAAAAGGACACCAATGGATAAAAGTTGAAATGAGTTTCATCCTGCAGATTTTAACTTTCAAAGGTTTTGCATTACCTCCTACAACTTTAGAGCACACAACTGGGTTTCAATGTGTGATAAGTACTAAGTTTCAAATCCATATGATTTCAAGCATCAGCGCATGAAGCGAAACGCTTGTAAATGCACCATAGTAGCTTCAAAAAATGAACACAAAGAAGTTATAATTTTGCACAGAGAAGATACACAAGCCAACATTCTCCGCAGGAGAGAATATAAGAGCACTTCACACAACAAGAACATATTATGAAATACATAGCCAAAGTCAATATCATAATAAATAATAAAAAGGGTACAAAATCATACCGCAGAAAGGAGCTGCCTGGTCCTTGTATCCCAAATGCGAAGATAAGCATCCAGTCCTAGAAGCAGCATGTTGTGATATGAGCTTCAGTGATGAATATGGAAATTTATAAATGCTAATACAATAGTACAAAAGCTGAAATGTTCTTATCAGAGCCAAAAATGTTGAATCAGCAAAACTAGAGACCTGTACCTTTTCAATTGATTATGAGCTTTCACAACAATCATCCAGAAGGAAGAAAAAGAGTGACAAAAAATTATGAATAATAGATCAAACGGTATGACCAACAACTAAAACAATAATTTCGACTTAAAATAAGACTGTACATAGCACACTATAATTCTAAAACAAGTAACATAGAGATGAGAAAAGGCAGACCAAACTCCAATAAACCACCTGCTCCAAAGGTTTCTAGGAAAAGAAAGCCCACTCACCACATGAAGCTACAATCGGCAGCTCAGGGTGCCTAACTATGGATCTGATGCTTCCAGAGCATTTGCCAGTAAAACATCCTAGCAATTTTCCTGTAACAAATTGTGCGTCCATTAACATGATACGGAAAAAAAAAACAACTCATGCAAAGACAGTGATCAACATACTAAGCTGAAAATAACTCGTGCAAGAGGATATCAAATGATAATAACAAAAAATATAGCAGCTCAAACTCAATGCAATCATATCTGATAACTACCAAGAGTCAGAAAATCCAAGAAAAACACACCAATACTAAATGTGGTTATTGAGATTCCCATCTTATACAGGAAATAAATGCATGCAAATATTAATACGTCTCTCTCATTGCAAAAGGTCTTGGAGATGATCTATACAAGAAAATGTCCATTCAGAATGTTAAGCATAAAATGCTAGCAATGCTAAAGGCGTTAGAAATCACTTCTATTAAGGAAGGGCTTTAATGAAATGAACCCGCAACTTCCCACTTACAAGGGAGTTTTCATGTCACCTTCTCACTTATAAAGGAGTTTTCATGTTACTAGGTTACAAAACCATCGGCAAATGACAGGTACATTTAATCCAGAGTTTGAATAGAAACCAAACTATGATTTTAGAAATACTTTTACAGTTTACGAAGTAAATATGTAGAGGAATTTGTCTCGTTTTGCGGAAAAGTGCTTTTAAAACCATGGTTTGAAGGTTGCCAAACACCCCCTAAAGCTATTAACTCAAACTTTCTCCTTTTGTCATTACAACTCTTCAGCCATAATTTATACAGCTCAAAACCTCAAGCTTTCCCTCAAGCCTTCACTTTTACACCCTCACCATCATCCTCTCCTCCATTCCATATCGTAAGAAGATGCTACACGTTTTAGGTAAAATCTTGAGCATCTATAAATATTAAATATCCACGTTGGGTTCGTTCTAAATATATTTTTTTTACAATAGGAAAAACTTATTCTGTATAAGACAGAGCAAAGCTTTGTAGTAGATAATATCAACATAAAAAAAGGGGGGGGGGGGAGAAAACAAAGAACAGCAAGAAAACAGCATAATCTCAAATATGCAACTAGAAACAATGATCTCTGCAAATACGAACAGGAAATTCCCCATAAACACATGCAGAAATTCAAAGTGAAGTCATTGAAATTACTTTATCCCACAGCATATGAAGAAGCTCTGACCAAATAAACCATAAAACTATAAACATTGCACATCACGAGTTAAAATTTATCATGATGCGAGCCTTGGTAAATTACCAATGAACCTTAATTTACTAAATAAGAGAAAATGCATATAAGCCCATTACATGAAACTTGTCAGCCATAAGAAATGACTACCAATCATCTCAACCAAAATATACAGCCTCATATAACTACACTAAAACTTAAACTGAAAGGTTAAAAATGAGAAGTTGCCTCAAAATCCTAGCTATGGCCAACTCAGGCTTGTTTACAAGGAATAAATGGCTTTTTTCTTGAGAAAGGGTACATGTAAGATCAATCTATATCTGCCACTGCACAACACTAATATGAAATGTTCAACGCTTACAGATTTTACTCCTTCATAGTTATTAATAGAGTAATTTCAGGTCATAGCAAGAAAATTACATGGTCACCAATGTAACTATTAAGCAGTAAATCAGCACTCAAATGTTTGGAACCCCAAAATTGATTTATCCATTGACTGCTACGATATGGCACTCTACTCTCTCAAGTACAAGATGCAATTTTAGTCACAGAACAACTGATAACTAGCCAATTTATATCATTGCCTAAAATCAAATAAATTACCCTGGCGAATTTAGTCATGGAAAGAAGATATTGATAACCTGATACAGCAGAAGATAGAAGAGAAAGTAGAAGAAAAGATAGGAATATATATATATATAAATATATATATAGAGAGAGAGAGAGAGAGCGGAAACTGAATTCAAATTCAGATTTTGCCTAAAGTAAAGCTATATAGTACCAAGGCATTAATATTGCCAACGGTTTCATGTCACCAACCACCCTAACCATCCCACTTCTTTACACAATTATAATTATAAATCTGGTATCATAATTGCCAGACACTGAAAGGCATGCACATACCTGTGCGTATATCAACAGAGGCAAGGTCACCAGACCCATTCCCTATGTAGATTGAATAACCATCTATATCCTCAGCCACTGCTTTAATAGGTGTCTCACGAAAATCAAATGAAATAACAGGCCTTCGCTGAGCAGAGATGTCATATAGACGGACCTGGTTAAAAGTTACAAGTTAAAAAGAGATGAATGCATTAAAAATTAAGTAGCTTTGCAAGGGAGTAGATAATAGAATTATTGACTTCTTTATATTCTGAAATAGCAAGATATATAGGATTAGGCAACACATCCGCAGGTTGATCACTCCAGCTTTGTACCCATATAACCCAATTTGACATAAGCACATCCAGTAGACTATAGCTCAAAATTGTGAATGACAAGAAAAACAGGTACTATAAGCCCATAGACTTATCCATTTACTTCAAGGCATCAAATAATATGTACTTGTCTATAAATACAATCTATGCTTCACTCTGCATCATGATGTCAAAGGCTATGCTTATCCTCTTTGTTTACCCTATCCTAATCCTTCCCCATAGGGAAGGATGACCCACACGCATACACCCATTCTCCCTATACCACTTGGGGGTTTGATCCCACAACCTCTCCTTTTTAAGTGGGGTTGCAGCTTGAGCCAAAGGCTATGCCTATCCTAGATGTAGAAACTAAATCAAAAACATCATAGAGGAAATGATATTAGTAACTAAATTGTGTCGACAATGGCAGTAATCATGGCTTCCAGAATCAAATGGCATGACAGTTAAGATCCTCCGTCTGAAACTAACAAGGCTTGATGGTTGCTATGCAATGGCAAGCATCATCCATGACGAGTGCCTTATTGAATTTAGAAAGCAAACAGTATTTGTTACAGCATTTCTAAATTTTCATAATCTCTAGCCAGCAGCCAATGATATCGTTGACTTTAGGGGGATGGCTCCATTGGCAGTGTCTCTGAATCTTTGATTAAATAAAGCAACAAATTGTGACAGAAAATACGCCAGAATTTGTTCATCTGTGTTCTCTATGATTAAAGCTTTGGAAAAGAGAGCTCTATCAGAGGATCCTCAAGCTTTATATCTCCATATACTTGGCTGAGATCCTCTTTCCAGGTACCATATAGCTCCACCAAACCACCTATTTTCCCATCATTTCAATTTTCTGCCAACACATCTCTCCTGTATCTTTATTCTTTCTCTACAGATAAATGACATTATTTACAGCTTCTACATAACGAATATAGAAAAGGAAAATAATTTTAGACCTGTGAGCTGTCGGCTCCACTAATGGCACTTTTATACAACAAGTGCTGACTTTATCTGCCAGGAAATTACTTTATTCTAGTGATTCTCCCACTGTGCCAGTTTATTTTCTATAATGTGTTTTAAAATAATTTGCATTTTATAAAATACATCCTGAATGAAATGGCAGTCAACCATCAATATGGTGCCCAGCAAGCCATTCCCTGTGGCACCACAGAGTTGAGGGGCTTGCCAGTCACTATCATACACCATTGACAAAATTAAAATATAGTGGTTCAGAGTCTTGAATATAGCTATAGTATAAGGACATAAGCATCATGGCAAGGAAGCTTCCCTAAGTATTTTTACACATTCCAAATATGTTTATTGTTTAATGACAGAGTTTGGCGCTGAACTCATATTTTATTTCATGAAATAGATCGATACATATATAGGGGAGAAAGGGTTTGATCGAATCTGATCAAATCTAATCTAGAAGAATGATAGGATAATAAATCAGAGAAATATCTAACAAATCCCTAAAACCATGCAGATACTAAAAAATATAATTACTGCTTGTTACGGCTGTTACTAATTAAGCTAGGGTTTGCTGTAATTGGGCCTTTATTGGGCCCACTTCCAACACTCCTTCTCAAGCTGGAATAGATATTGATCATTCCCAGCTTGCTTGTGAGTTCATCAAACTTTGCCCAAACCAGTGGCTTTGTCATCATGTCTGCAATTTGTCTTCCAGTAGGAATGTAGGCCAAATCAATCACCTTAGCCTTAATATTTTCTTTAATAAAATGACAATCAATCTCAACATGCTTTGTCTTGTCATGCTGAACAGGATTATTGGCGATTTTCAACACAGCCATGCTATCACACCACATTTTTATTGGTGTAGTCTCTATCCCAAGTTCCTGCAGTAGTCGTACAACCCATATCCCTTCACAGATTCCAAGAGCTAAAGCTCTATATTTTGCCTCTGCAGAGCTTCTAGATACAATAGGTTGTTTTTTACTCCTCCATGTTACTAGGTTGCCACACACAAAAGTACAGTAGCCCGTAATAGAGCGTTTATCATCAATTGCACCTACCCAATCAGCATCAGTATGTACTTCAATGTCATTGTCTTCTTTGTATCAGTGTTCACCCTTTTTCCATCTGTATATATTTCCACATGCTTTTTATTCCCCTTAGCGAAGAATAACCCTTTCCCAAGTGTATTTTTCAGGTACCTGAGGATTTGGTATATAGCTTCCATGTGCTCCTTTTGAGGTTTACTACTAAATTGACTTACAACCCCTACAGCATAAGAAATATCCGGTTTGGTATGAGATAGGTATATGAGTTTACCTACCAATTTTTGGTAACGTTCTTTGTTGGTAGCCTTCCCATCTGGTGTGATCTGAAGTTTATAGTTTAGTTCCATAGGAGTCCCAGCTGGTCTAGCTCCTAACATCCCTGTCTCCTTTAAAAGATCCATAGTGTATTTTCTTTGTGACACACTAATACCTTTAGGTGATCTAGCAATCTCCAGTCCCAGAAAATATCTCAGATTTCCAAGATCTTTTATCTCAAATTCTGCGGCTAGCCTCTGTTTCAGTTCTGCAATTTGTTTGAAGTCATTCCCTCTTAATACTATGTCATCCACATAAACTATTAGCACAGTAATTTTATGATTAGAGTGCTTTATAAACAAGGTATGATCTGTTTGGCATTGTGTGTAACCGAATCTTTTAATGGCACATGTAAATTTTTCAAACCATGCTCTCGGGGATTGTTTAAGTCCATACAAAGATTTATAAATTTTGCACACCTTATTCTGATTTTCAGAGTTCCATAATCCTGATGGTATTTCCATATACACTTCCTCATCTAGGTCCCCATTTAAGAAGGCATTTTTAACATCTAATTGATGTAATGGCCAATCTAGATTGGCAGCAAGAGATAATAGGACATTTATAGTATTGAACTTAGCAACAGGAGCAAAAGTTTCAAGATAGTCAATACCATAAGTTTGTGTAAAACCCCTTGCTACCAGTCTCGCTTTATACTTATTAATGCTTCCATCTGGGTTGTACTTCTTGGTAAAAACCCATTTGCTACTTACAACAGGCTTTCCTCGTGGCAAATCCACTATTTTCCAGGTCTGATTCTTAGCTAAGGCATTCAGCTCATTGTCAACAGCCAACTTCCAGTTCAAATCACATACAGCTTCATCAAAAAATCTTGGGATTTCTTCTTTGTCAATATTAGCAACAAATGCCTTAAAGGATGGGTTGAGCTTCTCATAGGAGACATAGCTGTTAATAGGATACCTGGCACAACTTCTCTTTCCTTTTCTTAGTGTAATTGGCCACTGTAGATCTTTGGAAATAGACTCAAGTTGAGTTTCATGACTCAGCCTTGGTAGTGCAATGGACTCTTCTCTGTTCACTGTTGTCTCCTCTCTGTTTCCTGAACTTGGGACTCAAGGTTAGGATCATGGGTAGGTCTATTGTCAAGGTTTGAAGGTGGCCGTGCAGAATCGGTGATAGACTGTTCAGGTTCAATAATAGGTTGTTCAATAGCAGGGATAGGCTGAGCCGGCTCATCATAGGTGGAAATGGATTAGTGTCAACTGGGATAGTGGAAGAAGGTGCTGTTTGGGGGCCATAGCTAGGTGTTCATTGATTTTCGTAATTGGTTTCACTGATATGACCTTCATCACCACCACGAATTAGCCATTCTCTATCACTCTCCCCTGAATGGGTGATTCGGAGTAAAAAGGAAGAGATTCAACAAATTTAACCTTGAGTGATATAAAAACGTTTTCAAGCAGGAGAATAACATTTATAACCCTTTTTAGCGGATGAATAACCCAGAAAAACACATTTTTCAGACTTAGAGCCTAGTTTTCCACCCTAATTATCAAAAACAAAAACTGCGCATCCAAATACACGTTTGGGAAGGGAGTTGAGGAGATGAGAATGAGGATAATGCTCTAAGAATTTTTGAACAGGAGTCTGAAATTTTAGTACTTTGGAAGGCATTCTGTTAATCAAATAAGCAGAAGTAAGAATAGCATCTCCCCAAAATTTGGTAGGAACATTTTTATCAATCAAAAGAGCCCTTGCCACTTCCAAAAGGTGTCTATTTTTCCGTTCTGCTACACCATTTTGTTGTGGTGTATGCACACAAGAAGTTTGATGGTGAATTCTATTTTCAGTAAGAAATTTTTGAAATTCCATATTAATATATTCTCTACCATTATCACTTCGAAGAATTTTTATTGAAGTTTGAAATTGGTTTTGAATAAAAGCATGAAAGTTCTTGAAGATAGAGAAGACTTCTAATTTTTCCTTCATTAAAAATACCCATGTTAGGCAAGTATGGTCATCAATGAATGTAACAAACCATTTTGCATTAGAAACATTTTCAATCCTAGATGGACCCCAAACATCACTGTGAATTAGGGCAAAAGGATGTGTAGGTATGTAAGGAGTTGGCAAATAAGTTGAGCGAGTTTGCTTTGCTCGATGACAAGTATCACAATGAAACTAAAAATCTTTATTGATGGAGTTGGGAAACAGAATTTTCATGTAACTAAAATTTGGATGACCTAACCTAGAATGCCATAGCATTATGTCATCATGAGACATAGCAGAAAAAACTGAACTTGAAACAGAAGAATCAACCATAGAAGTCTTCGAGTCGCCTTCAAGATAGTAGAGTCCATGACACTCCTTAGCTTTGCCAATCACCCTCCCCAAGGCTAAGTCTTGAAAATCACAGTGAAATTTGTCAAATATTGCATGGCAATTTAATTGGTAAGTGACACTTTTAACAAATAGTAAATTACACTTGATCTCAGGTACAAAGAGGACATTATATAATATAATAGTGGCTGAGATAATAACAGTGCCGAACCCCATGACCTTTGCATATGTATCATTGGCCACTTGAACTCGGGAGTATTCAGAATAGGGCTTAAAGTCAAAGAATAATTCACGAAATCCGGTTATATGATCTATGACTCTAGAGTCAACCACCCAAGTATTCTTTATTTTGTGAGTAGCCAAGAAAATCATACCTGCATGTGCTAAAGTAACTTGAGGAGTCGTTTTATCACTTGTTTTATCTTAAATATATTTATCTAGGATTTTCCGGAGGATGGAAACCTCTTCCTGGTTCAACAACTCATCGTCTTGCATGTTCCTCACTGTCATACCTTTACTGCTCTTGTCCCCTTTTGTTCGGTGTCTAAGATGAGCTGGTTTTCCATGAATCTTCTAGCAGGTGTCTCATGTATGGCCATTTTTATTGCAATGGTCACACCTTTGAAATTTCTTTCCTTTAGGTTCATTCTCAGGATTGCCATGGATGACCATGGCTGAGGCATCAGCAGAAGGTAGAGCTTGAGGGTTTAATTGGAGCAATGCCTTACGACTCTCCTCGTTTTTAACCATATTAAAGGCATCTTCAAGCGAAGGGAGAGGCTTTATACCCATAATTCTGCCTCGTATATCCTCATAGGTATCATTAAGGCCTAATAGAAAATCATAGCAGCGATCCCGATCAACCACTTGTTTGTAGTATGATTCATCTGTGTGACAGGTCCATTGATGAACATCATACAGATCAATCTACAACCAGAGTCACATGAGTGCACTGAAGTACTGGGTTACGGTTTGCTCTCCCTGAACTAGACTACGTGGGAGCCGTTTGACCTGAATTATAGCGGCAAAATTTTCCTTGATTGAGTATGTTCGCCTAGCAAACTCCCAGATTTCACGAGCTGAACTAGCAAGCACATAATTCTTGCTGATTTCTGGAGTCATGGAATGCACTAAACAGGTCATTACTAAATTGTCTTCGGCCCGCCATGTATCGAATTGGGAATCCTCAGTTGATGGTGGTTGGGGATCCCACGTGAGATATTTCTCCTTGTGTCGACCTCGAATAAACATAAGTACATTCCTGGACCATTGTAGGTAGTTGTTCCCGTTGAGTCTATGGGAGATGGTGATTTGAGATAGTGAATCCGACGCTGAACTCAAAGATGAAAATTGGTTCGAGGGTCGGTTCACTACAGAATTGGTCTCGCTATTTGAGCCATCACCAGTCGCGGCCGAAGATGAGTTTTTCAGACCGCCGGCAGTGAAGGCTCGTGGAGTACCCATCAGCGCCGCTTTGAAGGTCATGATCGCTCTGATACCATGACAGAGTTTGGCGCTGAACTCATATTTTATTTCATGAAACAGATCGATACATATATAGGGGAGAAAGGGTTTGATTGAATATGATCAAATCTAATCTAGAATAATGATAGGATAATAAATCAGAGAAATATCTAACAAATCTCTAAAACCATGCAGATACTAAAAACTATAATTACTGCTTGTTACGGCTGTTACTAATTAAGCTAGGGTTTGCTGTAATTGGGCCTTTATTGGACCCACTTCCAACATTTAATTTCAAATTTTCATACTAGTTTCTGTTTAAAATTACCTGATGGCTGTTAGTTCCAGCAACAATTTTACGGTGATCGTCTTTACTAAGAAATGTACCACATGTGAACCAGGTAGGAGTAAAAATACCAAGGCTGTTCTTAGGAGGCTGCAAAACAAATGGTAAGATTATGAATATAGGAAAACCAAGATATGATACAGTAGAAGATAATATGGGTGGGAAAGGAAAAGTAATTATTGAAAGGACAAAAATAAATTTATTGCAGACTCACAGCTTTGGCATTCCATATCTTAGTGGAGTTGTCAAGATCCCAAAAATTAACTTCAACGCCTTTCCTAAGCGATGGATATAAGCAATAGTTAGAATATTCCAGCTCAGATATCTAAAATAAGTTGATAGATGATAGTGCTTGTATTGGTTTCTCATCAGATTTTAAGAAGGCCCTCCCTCTCCGTTGTTTTCCCTTGGCTTCGAGCTTGTATCATTGCAAGATCTTTCTATTTTATATATTTCAACATTGGAGGTCTTATATTTCAGAGAATTTTTTATTCTCTATTAGCCATATTAAATGAGAAACAGCGAAATTTCTTTTGCTTCTTAGAACTCCCAAATATCTATAATACATTGCAAACTGCAAGTCTTTTTCACAGTTAAGATACTAAGAAATTTCAGCAACCACAAAATATCAAAACTGTCTATTTGGTCTACAAAACTTGATAACATTAGAACAAATACAGAGCAGCCATTCCAGAAGCAGCATAAACCGTTATAACACAATGTCTCTGTGTATTCATACCATGTGTTTAAGTAACTCCAAACTAATATCTGTTTACATGAGGAATTAAATGAAGATTAACTATTAATAGAAAGGTACTTACAAATTTTTTGCCCGAATTGTTTGCAAAGTTTCTACAGATTCATTATGAAAGACCTAAGAATATGAATGTGCAATACATGATTAAGGTAATAAGCCAGGATTTTCATGCAGCAGTTCATGCCTAGCATCTGCTGCAGTAAATGATAATCTTTAAAACACAAATATGATTATGTTGTAATGGTTATTTTAAGATAATAAGGGGTATCAATCACCCAATAGCTTATAACACTGGTTTTTTTCAATGCCCTCCATTCCTTTTAGTTCACGCACTTCACAATATTCAGGGAACTATCTTTTCCTTTGTTCCCATATTTTCTACTCATAAAACCCTTCTTTACAAAAGTTCGTGAAATAAATTATTTGAACAGTTTGATAATGGTTTCGAATCAGTTGATTTCTACAGCTTATATGCGATACTCATGTAAATGGTAATGACTTACCCTCCAAATAAAGCATACTTCTCACTTCCATCCACCTTGCAACATAAGATGTCACCGCCAGCACATACATTCCAAGTTGAAGAATTAAGAGAAACAGATTCTGAAGATGAATTGGTCACTTCAAAGGACTTCACACTCGCGTTTCCCTTGGTTGTGCAGGTAAGTAAAGTACAAGACCTAAAAACAGATACTAAATTTGAATTACTACTTTTAAAGCTGTAGAAAAAAGAGACATATAACTGAGACCCATTCATGCATACGTCAGAGCATTACAAGCAATTAAACTATATCAATCATGTAAGCACGAGAAATCAACCAATGCACCACCAATATGAAAGCCAACAACCATTTTGATTTACAGAACATGAAGATAACGTGTATGTGTCAAAAACGAACAAAAATTCACCGTGATAATCACTTTTAACTAAATTGAGCATAAAAATATGGCACAAAAGAAACAAGCATAGCAAATTTGAACAGTTAAATGAAAATGGTATATATACTACCTGGATGCTAACTCCACGTTTTTCTTCGCAAATAAATGCAACCCACCAATAACATTTTCTTCAGACCTAATATCCGTAGCATTAGAATTTAACATTGCAGCCTGTACATCTCCATTTACAGGGTTCAGAACTTCAACCTAAAGTGAATATGTAGATTAATGCATTTTAGAATCTGACAGTAAAGATTGAACACCAAAACATGTTAAGAAACATTCAATGATATTATGAAGGAACTTACCCTCCCATTTTTCCTCGCTACGGCTAATAACTGCAATGTAAGGGGGAAAAAAAGGAAAATAATGAGAGAACAACAATTCATGTTTCTCCATGGTACCTTTTCAACACAGCACATACCGGGTCAGCCTTGCGGTCAGTGAAAGACACGGCTGAGACGCAACTGGAGGAGTCTGGGTCACCCCATCTATCCACGACACGTGGAACCGCAGCTTGCTTATCACGGGCTTCAACAACTAACACAAACAAAAGAACCCAAAAGCTAATCAAAAGAGTGGAGCAAAACAAGATGCGACTTTGGAAGAGCCAGGAGATGAGTGCATAAATATGATCAATCAATCACCTTTAATGAGACCAAGTGCGTCAAAAGTTAGAGCTCGAAACGGAGGGCAACCAGGGCAGTCAACAGTGGTGGTACGCGGCATCGTTCACGGCGCCGCCGAGGGAAATTTCCAGTTCTGTGCGTTCCCAAGTAGCTCCTTGGTTTGGAGGGAGGATTGACAGCGCCTTGCGGCTAGGCTTCTTTCGAACGGAGCCGAGAATTACTGAGATCCGGATCCCCTACGGCGTGTGTAATCTTACGGAAACCATATTCGTGGCGTTGAAAGAATCTAGACCGTTTGTGTGATCCTACGGAAATATAATGTGTCTGTACGAAACATTTGGCTAGGGGCCGTTTGAGAAGAGCCGCCTTGTCTGGTCTCTTTTACAAATAATTTTTTGTTTTTAAAAATTAAAAAAAACTTATTTGGTAATTTGTTTTTAGTTGATTGTTTTAAAAAACAAAAAAATAATAACATGGTTTTAAAAATTAAAAAACCAAAACAACTTTTACATGTTTTTCTGTTTTTGTTTTTGTGTTTTTATTTTTTATTTTGAAAAATTTTAAGAAATTTTTTTCTCTTCTTACTTACTATCCACCACTTATCATTACTAGTGATAATTATCATTTACCAAGTGTAATTTTCCATTATTTGTTTTTTAAAACATAACTTTTTAAAATTATTATCTAAACAAATTCTTTTGTTTTTTTATTTTCAAAACTTGTTCCAAGAAACAATTTTATAAAATTGTTTTGAGAACAAAAAAATAAAGAACAAAAATAAACAGGCCCATAATTTGACAAATAACCTTTTGTTTAGAATAGAGCATGACATACAAGTCAATATATCAATATACATGAAAAGATCTAATCAAAAGTTTACTACATTCCCTCTTAACTATCAAAATGTCCTGAGCCAGTCCTATGTGTCACCACCATACTCGACAAAATTTGTAATCCTAACATTATACTCTTATGAGATTTTGTAAAGAAAAAAGACTTAAGGAGTGTTTAGATTGTTGTTATGAAAATCATTTTTTTATGTGCAAATTATTAAAAAAGACATCAGTTAGTAAATTTATAATGACAGCAGATCTTAATTTATATTTTTTAGAAAATTGAGAATTCCATTTTAAAAATTTTAAACATCATGTGCCATAATATTTTTAGAAAAGTTGAATAAATATATCATATCAGGTCCTTAATATAAGAGCTAGATAACTAATTTGTAAATATTAAAAAAATTAGTTAAGTTAGTTATTTGTAATAAATGAATGTTGTTTTTTTTTAAATACTTCTATCAATCATATATATTGAAACTACTCCTTAATATCAATAAGGACTCCTTAACATGTACAATCATCTTTTAACATAGTACAATCATCTTAGAGATTACTTAAGAGCAAGAAGGAAAAAATATGAGAAATAAAATGGATTAATATTTTATATTTAGGAACACGTTGAATTTTCAACTAGCTCCTATTTTAAGGACCACAAGTAGTATGTAAGACTAATTTATTATTTATATAATTACTATTTGGGTTATTGAATTTGTCAAAATTCTAATTAGGTCGTATGACTTAAAGAGAGATTTTAGAATTTTATGAAATGATTCTAATGCCCTTTTCATTAGAAACCTGGGGATTTTCTATTGTTCTCATGTTACGTAAGAGCTCTAAACAAGAGAAATTAGTATCTACCATTACAAAATTGAAAAATCAATCAAGGAGATAATAGTGAGCTAGTTATATATTAAATCTTCCTCCATCAATCCTGATAGTTTTATCTTGACAAAAAAATTATTAATTTAGAATTAAAACGTGTTAACTACAAAATGGAACATGTTAATTTTTAAAGTTGTATTGTAATTAGAAGACTTATTACAAATGTGTTACGGAGACAAAAAGTTATTAATTTAGAATTGAAACATATTTAATTTAAGGGAAATTTGGTCAAAGATCCTTGTGTGAAAATTTAATTGGTTAAAATAACCTAAATTTGAACAAGTGTAACTATGATCCATATGTGCAACTTTTCTTTTGTTATGTGCAACATATCATCAATGATGTGCAACAATCATCAACACAAAAGTCATTTGTATACAGTGAAAGATATGTTACACACAATAGAAGAAAAGTTACACTCACATATCATAATTACACTCGTTCAAATTTAGGTCCTTTAGCTAAAAGTTTCAAATAGGGATTTTTTAACCAAATTTCCCCGTCTTTAACTCTAAAATGGAATATGCTAATTTTTAAGGTTGTATTATGATCAATTTTATTCAAATACTTATTACAAGTGTATTATGAAGACAAAAAGTTATGAATTTAAAACTGAAACATGTTAACTTGTGAAATAAAATATGTTAATTTTTAAGCTTGTAGTGTGATCAAGTTTTATTCAAGGACTTGTTGTAATAACCACATAATTGAACTTATTAATTTTTAAGGTTGTATTGTAATCAAATTTTATTCAAAGACTTGCACAAATGTATTATGGATATAGATAGTTGTTAATTTAAAATTGAGACGTGTTAGTTGCAAAACGAAACACATTAATTTAAAATTTTTCTCTCTTGATTTATGATGAAAAGCATATTAAATTCATTTCATACAATTTTAAAATCTTTCTTCAGGTCATGTGCTCTGATTAGGAGTTAGACAATTTTAATAACCTAAATAAAAATTTAAGTCATTTAAGTTTCTTTTGTTCAAAGGATTTTCCCTAATTAATATGTGTATATATATTTATAAAATATAATATTAAATGTATTTTTATATTCCCAAACCATGGTTTTATACTTCCAAAAGCAAAAGAAAAAAATTATGAAAACCATGGTTTTATACCCCAAACCAAGATTTTAAATTCAAAACTGATTTTGTGAAAAAAAATTGGTGCTTAGATAATTTTTCTCTAAACCATTTTTTCCCTCTAAAACCATTTTTCAAAAAAAAAAAGAAAAGAAAAAACACCTAAACTTCAGGTAAAAAAAGGGGGAAAAAAAAACCCAAACACCTTCACAGGTGAACTGAGCAGGAAGTCTTTAAAAACAATAATGAATACGAAATTTTCAAAAACATTATTCTTTTTATTCTAATAAATTTTTTTAAAAAAATTAACATAGTGAAATTTTTTCTTGAAATAGGATATTAATTTCTTATAAATTTTATGATCTTATTAAATTTCTCAATTAAATATGTATATTTTAAATTTTAACTAAAATAATTATAATATTAAATGAGAAAATTAATATTTTAGTCTTTCAACTTTTGTTTCACTCAAAACTCAACATTAGGTCTTGAAACCATTTATATTTTACCATCCATAACTTATCTCCATTCATCACTGAGTTTAATTTGACGAAAAATTATAAGGATAAAATACTTAAATATCCTAAAAGTATATATAAAAGAATATCCAGCATTTGAAAGTTTTTTTAACTCTTATACACCCTGAAAATTTATTTTCACAGCCAAAATATCTTATCATTATCCGTCATTAAGTTTGACAATTAAATTATGTGATTTGACTAATGTCTTTAACGGTCTAACTTAATGATAGATAATGATTTAGGGTAAAATGTTATGACATAAAACTTCTATAGTATATAAAATCTAAAAAAAAAAAATTCCAGGTGATGGGTGCTTCTTCATAAATATATTTAAAGTATTTAATTATCTTATCCCAAAATTATAACTCAATGTCTGTGTCATATCATGAATCTGTATGGCTGTATGGGAAACAAAAAGCACCAAAAAAAAAAAAAAAATGGAAAGCAGAAAATAAAACCGCTGCCACATAGCTTCTTCGTTAACAAAGCCAAAAGTCTCCTATTGGTGATTTGCAAAAGCTCATGATAATATTTGATGTGTTTGAATTGGCAGTGGCAAAAATAACCTTTATTTCTTCTGATTTTTGCAAATTTAAGTAAGGATGAAAGTCAATTAATATAATATTCTTTCGGTCTTAAATATAAGACTCTTATACTAGTATAAAGGTTTTATATTTAGAATCAGAGGAGTAATATTTTTTTGATGGGAGACAGATGAAAAGCATACAAAGTAAATTAACACACATCACAAACACGCTCATCCAAGGGTCTTTGGCATGGATTGAGTTTTATTTAAAAAAATTAAAATTTGTTTGAATGATTAATAAAAGAAATTAGATGTGATACATCTTAGAGAATAATTAAAATAAAAATTATAAAAATACAAATGGTTATTATTGGGAAAATTTTGGTAATATATTTAATAGATAAATATATTGAAAAACTTATTTAGATATAAAATGACTAAAAAGAAGATGCGTATATCATAAAAACAAAAAGAATTGTTAAAAAATTATAAATATTAAAAGAGATATATTCAGACGAATAAAAATATAAATATATGTAAAATATACTGTCTAAAATAATGTTAAAAATTTAAAAATATTATAAAAACATAATCAAAAGTTATTTTACCTTTATTTTAATTATTGCCTAGTGATGGGATGTTTTGTGAAAGTATCCTCCCTAACAACAACTCACAGGCCATGCGGAGTGAAGGGCAAAGGGTAGAGAAGGAATGAAATTATCACCGCGATGCTAGCAGCATCTAAGGCCAAGAAAATGGCTTTAATTTCAGCATGGCATTTGAGATAAAATAACTTCTAAATTGCTGCTAGCCCAAAAAGCCAATAAGGGGAGGGGATTAGTGTTTTGAGACAAAGACAGGTTGCCTTAGAAGAGTGAAAAGTTGCTTTTTGGAGGAAAAGCACAGTAGATTTGTTTAGAATACGTTTAGATTAATAGTGACAAAAACATATGACTTTTGCAAACTAAAGTTAAAATAAAAATTAGCTAATATAATACGATTTATGTTTGGATTAGATTTTATAAAAAAAGTCAGTTTTACAAGTTAAAACTTGTTTAAATGATTAATAAAAAAATAAATTTAAATATAAAATAACTGAAAAGAATATCAACTTTATTAAATAATAAGTATTATATTATATGTTTATAATGTAATAATTGTTAAAAAATAATTAAAACTGAAATAATAAAAATAAAAACAGTTACTATTGAGAAAATTTTAAAAACACATCTAGTTAATTAAATATATTTAATGAATTAACATGAATATAAATTAAAAGTTATTCAAATGTAAAATTTTTGAACCAAATAATATTATATAATTAA